GTTGCGCCACTTGGATATATTCTATCCTTTGTTCCCGTTCTTCTGAATTCTTTCTTCCTTCCTGCACGTCAATAGAAACCTCACTTGCTCGGACGAACGGTGTGCCACGCCGACCAGACTTTCGATGGATCCGGTTAAAAATATATACAGGGCGGGGCTCGACGGAGATGCTCGAGCTCGCTCGACGATGCTTCCTCCTTCTTGGTGTGCGTCACGCGTTACTCTCATGCCGCGTGTTCACGACCGTACGATATCATCGTCATTATACCGCGAAATCGCCGTATCTTTCCCGTATTCCCGTGACGTCCTGTGGTATGCTTTGCGTTTCGTCGTTGCACTGAGAACCGCCAACAGGCCCGTAACTATCGGCCGGAGTGCCCGCGTAACTCGAAATTTTCGCTGGACCGAAGAATAAAAAATAAAATATATCAACGTGGATCGGTGAGAAATATAAAAATCGAGGTGTATTAGTTACGATGTCATTGACGTCAATGTTCGCACGCGGTGAAATTACAGGAAAGTTTGTAATTTTATATGGTTACGTAATTATGAAGATTGATCGATAACGATCTCGATGTTTTGATTTCTATTTTATGTTTAATGTTGCAAAATATTATTATCGAATGTGTATGTGATTATCATAAAAAATTCAATTATCGTTCTAATACAAGTTTTTCATCGAATCGTGTCCTGTCGTGGTGAATTATGTTCCTATTTTCGTTGCAACATGAACGCTTTCTTTCTTAGAAAATCATGGATTATATAAAAACTGTTTTATAAAGACGATCGACCGACTGAATGAATACGGGAAACATCTTATAGAATTACGGCACTCTCTTCTATTGCTTCGGGACTTTATCTGTATTCCTGCAGCTCTGCTTTCGAGATACGCACCTGTGCGTTGCCTGCGATTTGTGATTCTTTGTATTAGCTTACCGGGTAGTTTCGCGACGTGTCGCATGTGAGCGTATCGAGGTAGGCAGTTACTCGTAAGTTTCTCAACAGTACGATTCGATCTTCGTTTCGATAATAAAGTGAAAAAATTCATAGAATCTAATTAGCAACTGAAAACTCGTTAAAACAGTAGATACTTACGCGTATTGCAGAATCGCTGCTTTTCTGTTAATATTGTAACCGTATTTTTAACCATGAAATTTAAATTTTGCCAAAAATCTTTGTACTACCATTTATTCGTTCCGTGTAATAAGCAATAATTATTACTCGTTCCAAGTATTAAATGTATAAGAAATTAAAACTGAATCGTAAGTTAGGTATAAAATCACGTATCATAAACACATGTCTGTGAAATAAAAAATAAGCTAAATAATCCTTTTTCATGTGTGTGTGTGTGTGTGTGTGTGCGTATCTTTGCAATAACATACTTCATGTTCTGTTCAATTAAGATATATGGATCGAGAACACGATATTAAATCGATATTGAAATCGACATAAATTTCAAATTTTAATTTAGATAGAAATTTATTAACCTAACTCGATAATATTATAACGATGTAATATGTGCTTATGCAGCTGGTAAAAGCTATTTATTCTGTTGTAAAACATAGTTAACATAACCTATTATGCATATTATACTAATTATTATGTATTACATCTGAATTTCATTTTACGTATTTTACGATAATCTTCGTACACAGAATCATAACAAACTTTTTCATTATTTAAATGTCGTCATAATTTAACAATAGTTTAACGACTGAGCGTTATAGTTGTAAGTATACCAAATTTCGTTACACACGATGATATTCCAATGTTTGTATGACAGTGCCATTAATATAATTACGTAAGAAATATTTAGTATTATATTTGCTTAATTCTGCATGTATTTTACATTGTAACGAGTAAATTTGAGATAAAATATACGGTAAATTGCTAATGAAATAGCTGTGTCAATAGGTCGTTAAAATTTGCAGGTCATTGAATTTTATTATAGTGTACAAGAATTATGTAAATGTGAAGTATCGAATATAAATTTTTCTCGTTTTTTCAAATCAAACGAAATTGACAATGAAAACTGTTTGTACATATTTGTCACTTCTTACTCGTTTTGGAAGTGATTAAAAATTATATAACTATAATAGTAGTGCGAACCGTTTTCAAGGGGTGTGTCAGTCGTCAAATAAATGGACACCGATTTCCCTGTGTTCATGGCTGAAGGCAACTCGCTCCTTTTAAATTCACTTTATTCTCGTGTAATTCTCCCCAATTATGTACAAAAATATAATGAGAATCAATAATCATTACAGAATTCGTAACATTAGATAGGTACATGACGATGTGTGTGCTCTTGCCGTCTCGGCCTCGTGTGAACTTGACTTGTGACACCTTTCACTTCTTTGAACAATTTTTTTCCTTTCTTTTCTCCTTTTCTGAAAGTGATAGACGATCGATCATGGCTTGCGTGTTTATACGCATTTAATTTCTTTCTTTTCTTTTATAAATTTAAAATATCCACCGATTAATTATACATATAGTATCATGCGAAGTCGATGTTTTTGTTTCTTTTCTTTTTTATCTTGCATAGCTTTATGTGTATCCACACAGAAAAATGAAAGATTGATTTATTAGCTAAGAGTAATTTAATTCCTTTTATATTATACTCGTAGAAACTGACTGTTGCATGGAAAGAACAAAAGAGGTACATTTATGCGTTGGGAAATCAATATTATCCTTTTCTCTGCTCTATTCCAATTAATAAATTAGTAATTGATCTAGCACAATGATATTTTACATTTAATATTGTTGAAGGTTCTTTCTATGATTGTTTGAAAAATAATTCGTAAATTTTATTCGCATTACGATTAACTCGTGACATTGTCGAATATAAGGTTAGGAATATAAAGTTAACGTGAACGAAACGTCGGAATCATTTGTGAAATTAACACAAAGCATACTCGTACAGCATGAACTGCAAAAATCTTGGGTGAAAGTTCGAAAGATACCCAAGAAATTTCGTCGAAAAATCGTATTATCAAATATAGCAATAGTCATTGGGATTTCGTTAGAAAAGTGCAAGGTTTAGCAGAAAGATATACGTATGCGCCGATTGTAAAATAGCGCTAAACTTGTACACTGAGAAGCAGCCTTTTTTTAAACTTTCCTTTTCCCGTGTTCAATTGAAAGAAATACGAAGAATATCTTCAATCGTCATGATAGATTACGTTGGATTTACGAACCATAATAATGAATGACACATTTATACAAACGTATTGATGAGATATTTACGAACTTCTATTAGAATGTTTTCCCGTTGTGTCTCGATGTCGACGCGGCTTATTGTCCTCATTGACAGACACGTGTTTGTTAAATAGAATTCTTTACTTTTTCCTTTACATTTTCCAAAACGCAATGTAGTATTCCTTTTGCGAGATTTTAACAGGTGCGAAATTGCTTTGTTTTCTATGCTAAAGATATCTTTACAAATACGTTCATAACGCAATATCAGAGAAAAATAAAAGAAAAGAAAAATAGAAATAGGTTATGTAACGCGTACATGACTCTTATCGGTTCGCACGATATTGTAGAATTGAAAATATATAGAAATGCGTTTCTGGGTAGACGTAGTATTATATCGTGAGCTTACACGTGTTAAAAATGTGTTAAAAGGATGAGCGATTTTAACCAATTTGTATAGCGTTATAATGTACGATTTGACAGCAGTCGTAACTGGGAATAATACATCTGTGCGATTTTATGCGAACGGAAGAAGTCAGCAAAGGAGTAACATTTGAGCATCGGAGATATAAAATTACTCGTTATATCGTAACTGAAAGATCAATTCCTGTACACTGAAACGAATAACAAGGACTGAAACAGAACCTTGTCAATTTGTCGACTGAGAAACTGTGTATCACTGAAATCGCATGTCGCTGAAAGTTAATGTACGAAAAGAAAGCGTTCCTCTTGTAAAACGAAAAATAATATTTGCACGTACGTTTTATGACTACATTAACAGTCTTATCGACGATGGTTTCTCTTTTTTTTTTTTACTTCTTTTATTACAAACCATTCTTCAAATATTTTTCTAATACGTTATTAAAACTTGGCAATAATAAATTTTTATATATGAATACTTTCATAAGAAAGCACGTCTTTGACACCATTAACGTCAATGTTTCTTTTATTATGCGATTGATCTATTTCCTTGTAAAAATATACAACATTAAATTTATAGGATCGAATTGTTTTTTTCCTCAGATTTTTTTTATTTCTGTGCGGTCATAAATAAAAACCTTCATCTTTCCGTAATAGGAAGAGTACAAAAGTTTGTAACCTTAACAAGAGATTTTATATGATTCCTAGGTAAATGTTTTCTC